GAGCCCGCGGAGGCCACCACCGCAGGCAGGAAGGGGACCCGCCTCACCGCGTCCAGCAGTCTCGCATGCACGCCCTGTCCCGTGGGTAGAGCCTCACTTCTCGCAAGCCCCGCTGTAAACGGGCTTCTGGCGACAGCCTGGGGGCCGGAGAGCATGGCGCCCAGTGGAATGGCCACGCAGAGAAAGACAAGGACCACGTACGTGACCTCACTTCCATGTGGACTCTAGTGAACAAAACAATTGGACAAACAAAATAGAGATAGAAACACAGATTACACAGAACAGACTGACAGCTGTCAGAGGGAGGGGCTTGGGAGCTGGGTGAGAAGAGGTGACGGGATTAAGCAAACAATATCTCTCTCTGTCTGTCTGTCTGTCTGTACATCGAAAAACACACACAGATGCAGACAGCAGCGTGGCGACAGCCACCGAGGAAGGAGGTGGGCGCGGGAGAGGCAAAGCGGTGAATGGCGACGGGAGGCTTGGCTGTGGGCAGTGGGTGCAGACGCCGTGTGTGGAGGACGTCTGACTGACTCGTGCGCTCGAAACCGGTGTGGTTTTGGGAACCAGTCACCCCTGTCAACTCAGTGACAAGTGAAATAAATGAGGTGGATGAACTCACCCCTGCCTTCCAGGAAGGCGCCTGCCCAGAGCTTGGTAGCGGACTGGGGCCTGGCTGCTCCCCGCCCGGAGTGCCTGCTGCGCAGCGGTCGGGCCTGCTGACCTGGGGGGTCCCCTCCATCACTACCAGGTGCAGCATTATCTTACGTTCCACGAAGAAGAAAAAAGCTGCCCACAAAACCAGACTTAATTTCTTCTCACGGAGAATTTTCATTTATGCTGCCGGAAAGAATTCTTTCAGTGTATTTCAGCTTTGGTTTTTGTATAGACTTTACTCCTGTATGTACATATAAAAAGCAAAATGTGAGCCAAATACATTGGCCCGGGTGTAGCTGCACCGCCGGAGCCCCGCCCTCGGAGCGTCGTCTCGGGGTGGTGTTTGTGGTGTTCTGCGGTGTTGTCCTCGGGGCCACCAGAGACGGGACACACTTTCTTAAAAGAAAGCTTCGCCTCTATTGTTTCCGGAGTTTTCCAGATTCTGCAGATTCTGATGCCGACACTTTCCGGCCTCAACCAGCAGGCGCCGGGCAGCACTAGCCAGGCCGCGTCGCCCCAGCGGACCGTTGCTTCCCGAGTTGTGTTTGGGACGGAAGCCTCGAGGGGCGCAGTCCGCGTGCCTCGGGCGGTGACACGCGTGTTTGCGGGTGCGAAGGCAGGGACCCCTGTGTCTCCATTGATTTCAGAGATGTTCTTGGTGGCCATCCCGGAGCTAATGAAGCATGTTATGCCCACCGGCTCAAGCTTGTTAATTATGTTGGTCAAGCCTATACCGGCCCCCCTCCTTTTGCCTTTGATGGGAAAATTCCATGTTTACATGTACATCTGTTGGTTTCTGCTTTATATACTTGGAGGCCGTTTTGTTAGATGCGTATAAATTCAGACTTGTTCGTTGCGTGGTTAGTTAAACATGTGACTGTCTAGTGGCTTTACCTCACCCTGGTTTGCCTGTGTTGACGGGGCCACCTTCCTCTTAGTGAGGTTGTCCGGTGTGCCTGTCTACCCTCTTCCTTCAGTTGTTAGCTAGTCTTAGGTTTTAAACTTGTTGTTTATCATTGTCATTGTTGTTTGCTTCTTTATTCCAGGTTTTAAACCTTGGTCCTTTCCCATCTGTGTTCGTTGTAAATGTATCAGTTGTTTTTGACCGCGCATCCAAGTATTACAAAGTGATTGGCTTACAACACTGGGTTACCTTCCTCTCGGGCCTGTGTGTTGGCTGCCAGTTGGAGGCCTGCTGGTCGGGGGCCTGCTGGTCGGGGGGTGTGCTGGTCGGGGGG